AATGGTGGATGCGCTGTTTAGCGAACCCCACAAAAGGAAATGCGAGGGTTGATCAATACTCCCTTCGGCCCCCAAATAAGCATGAGTAAGTGTTCGCGTTTGGTGGTTTCGCGGGTTGCCGGTTTCCGCAGTGGCCATCCCATGTAAAGAGCCTTTTCATCATCCCCCATATAATCCCGTCACAACCCACGAAAAGTCTGCACCTCTCGAAGCGATAGGCGAGCTCGAGCCGGCCCAGGCGCATCCAGGAGACGTCCTAGACCTTCAATGGCTAACTTTTGGTTGGTGGTTTGCATCGGTGGTTTGGGGATTTGAAGCGGTTCTTTTGGAGGGTGATCGGAACAACCACCCCTAACCACCAACCAACAATCCAAAACCACCAATTAGTGGGAAGTTCATCAACTAAGTAAACTACCGAGCAATGAGTTAGTACCGTTCCTTCAGTGGGTTTCTACCTTCAGTGGGTTTTGGATGGTCGCCGTTACTGTCAGCTGTGTTCGATGGTTGTCGCCTTTAACGGCATGTCCCGAGTGCCTGGGCTTCAGGCACGTTTTTGGCTTTGACCATGATTTTGGCGGCAAACACGAAACAAGCTTGGACTTGTTTTGTGCAAAGCACTGGATCGGAAGCGATCTCAACATCATCCGAGCAGTTTTGCTTTGGCCATGGCCACTGGATTTCTGGGACACGTTGGGAGCGTGCCATGACGTGTGTCTGATGTCAAGGACAGACATGTGGATGTATATGTTTGTTAACCTAGTCGAGGGGCTTGCGGGTGTGTCTTGTCCCATGTGACGCATAGTTCTCGCAGAATGGGCATTCAAAGGGTGTCCCCTGAATGCCGCAATCATGGGGTGGCAGATATCATGACCTATGATTTGAAGATATTGAACACATGTGGTTGACATGTTTCTGTCAGTGGCCACCTCTGCAAAGTAACATGGAACCCCGAAAGAGACACATGGGTCCGTCTCCCTTTTTTTAGGGTACCATTCTTTGGTTGTCTTTAAAGGGAAGCCAAGGGAAGAAACCTGTTGGGGGGTCCCCCTATTTCAAGACACGCGCCCACATGGTTGTTGCTTCTCTGATTGCACACTGAAACCCGGGTAGTTGAAGGCAAAAGGAGAGTCACCAGAAACCATTCTAATGGCAGGTTTTGATTCTCTCGGGTGCCTTCTCGAAATCAACCAGAATACGGTCCCCGCTCCTCACGACGCCAGCCAGCGTGTTTTCTTGGCGCCAGGGCGCCCCAACAATTGCCGCTGCTGAAGAGGAGAATGACCTTTTGCAGACCTCTGGTTTTCGTGGACTTTGCTTTCCAACTTATTGATCATCTCCACCTTCTCTTTTGTGGGCCTCGAAACAGGTTGGGAGTGGAAAAGCAGAACCCCCCCTCATCTGCAATTGCCCTTTTAGCCATCAAACGTGATCTAACTCGGACCAAGTGCGTGCGAGGTGTTTGGTTTTGTTTTGTGTTATGTCTTTCGTGTGCAAATGTGCGTTGGCATTTGTAGGGGGCGCTTGAGGTCTCAAATTTCAAGCCTTTAGGCAGCGCCGGAAGTGGAAGAGGCCTTTATATGTGCCAGGCGTGCTTGGAAAGCGAGAAGCTGGATAATCATGTTAGGTTGCTTGTTACGGAGACGGTTCGTTTGACTTCAAAGCATCGCATGAATCATGAGAGGGGATGTCAAATTTACGAATCCTTTTTTGTATTCCCTCTAAAAGGTGGCAAGAGGTAGCTTCATATGCAAGAAGGAGCCATTTGTTTGACCCCCCCCCAAAAAAAAGAGGAAGAAAGTATTCTACCCAAATTGGCAGCGGTTGGTGCTTGTGAGCACATCACATGCAGGGTTCCCCTAATGTGTGTGTGTGTGTGTGACACTGTCTGTGTGTGTGGTTGCGTTTGTGGTTGTGTTTGTGTTTGTGTGTTTGTTTATTTGTTCCTTTTTTGTTTGTTTGTTTGCTTCTTTGAGGATACCCCTTTTGGGGTTGTTCACACCACCACCTCTATTTGGAGACCTACCCAAATACGTTACAATGAACGAGCGCATAAGCTGGTGAATTGTATAGTTCGATCGCTGGGTCACAAGCAACTTGTCAACTATTAGGCACGACTAAAGACAGGAACACTGACCAAACTAGCGTCTTTTTCTATTTCTAGGATTCTGGCTCAGTTGGATCGCAAGGGCTGTGTTTTCTCTGCTTGCAATTTGTACAGCATCCAGTGAATCGGATTTTCGCGGTCGGTCTCTGCGAGGTCAAAACCTGGGGCCTTGCCAATTGGCGGGTTTGTTGCTTCGCGTTGTCTTTTCGAAGTTGGGGCCTAAAAAATACAGCAAACATGCTTGCTCAAATACCGAAATTGGGTTCCCTTGGGTCCAACCTGTTGACATGTTCAGAGCCCCCCCCCCCATGGTTCTGGGGTCAGGAGCTGCCCGAGAAACCGGAGCAGTCGGAGTCGAGCTTCGTTGAGGCGGTCGAGCTGAAAGAAAATCGGTGAACAGGGCAGAAAATTAGCAAACGATTGGTTTTCCTTTCGGCACGAGAACTGCAAGATGATGAAATGTTGGGTAGAACGGTTTGCCTTGGTTTTCCTTTCGAAGGGAATCAAGGAGAACTGCAAGATGATGAAATGTTGGGTAGAACGGTTTGCATTGGTTTTCCTTTTGGCACCCAAGGGAATCAAGGAGAACTGCAAGATGATGAAATGTTGGGTAGAACGGTTTGCATTGGTTTTCCTTTCGGCACCCAAGGGAATCAAGGAGAACTGCAAGATGATGAAATGTTGGGTAGAACGGTTTGCATTGGTTTTCCTTTTGGCACCCAAGGGAATCAAGGAGAATTGCAAGATGATGAAATGTTGGGTGGAATGGTTTGCATTGGTTTTCCTTTTGGCACCCAAGGGAATCAAGGAGAATTGCAAGATGATGAAATGTTGGGTAGAATGGTTTGCATTGGTTTTCCTTCTGGGACCAAGGGAATCAAGGAGAATTGCAAGATGATGAAATGTTGGGTAGAATGGTTTGCATTGGTTTTCCTTCTGGGACCAAGGGAATCAAGGAGAACTGCAAGATGATGAAATGTTGGGTAGAACGGTTTGCATTGGTTTTCCTTTTGGCACCCAAGGGAATCAAGGAGAACTGCAAGATGATGAAATGTTGGGTAGAATGGTTTGCATTGGTTTTCCTTCTGGGACCGAGGGAAAAACAACGCAACTGCCGGTGAAGCCTTTGTGAGTTGTCGAAGCCTGGGGAGAAAACAGACGAATGGCCCACTGGTAACAACGATGCATAAAGACCGGTCTGTGAGAACGGGTACCCGTTTTCTGCCTGCATGCTACCTACTTGTGTCAGAATGTCCCTTTAGTCCGGTCAGGTTTGATGATAACAGTTATGAGGCTAGATGGTCTTTTTCCGATGTTGAACAGGAGCCTGTGGATGAACATGCTTGACCTTCCATCAGTCTTGAGCTCGTTGGGAGGGAACTTGGCTTGAGATGGGTTTTCGGCAGCCACGGTTTCCTCATTCTCAAGGCAGCTTGGGCTGGCGTGGTGTTTGCATGTGGCCTTTTGATGGGTGGACACTCGCAACAAGCCTGGGTCGCTGAATGATGAGCAGTAGATATCCAACACCCTTTTTCTGATCAGTCTGAAGAGACCTGGACTGCATCCCTCATCGCTCTGACGCATGGGCACGTGAGTTGCCGTTGAATGCTAAAGACTCAGATATACAGAATCGAAGATGGGTCCCAACATAATGGAAAAGACTAATTAGATGTCAGAGGATGCGGCTACATCCTGAGCTTGAAGATGAATCATGCGCGTCGACTGCAGACTTGTGCGTTGCTATTTGCACTGTGAACACATATCAACTTGGCTATGAACAGTCTTGAGCTCGTTGGACGGGAACCTTGCTTGAACTGGGTTTTCGGCAGCCGCAGGTTCCTCATTCTTAAGGCAGCTTGGGCTGGTGTGGTGTTTGCATGTGAAATTTTGATGGGTGGACAGTCGCAATGCCTGGGTCGCTGAATGATGAGCAGTAGATATCCAACACCCTTTTTCTGATCAGTCTTGAAGAGACCTAGACTGCATCCCTCATCGCTCTGACGCATGGACACATGAGCTGTCGTCGAATGCTAAAGATTCAGATATGCAGTATCGAAGGTGGGTCCCGTGATGATTGAAAAGACTAATTAGATGTCAGAGGATGCGGCTACATCCTGAGTTTGAAGACGAACCATGCGCGTCGACTGAGGATTTGTGCGTTGCTATTTGCACTGTGAACACATATCAACTTGGCTATGAACAGTCTTGAGCTCGTTGGACGGGAACCTTGCTTGAACTGGGTTTTCGGCAGCCGCAGGTTCCTCATTCTTAAGGCAGCTTGGGCCGGTGTGGTGTTTGCATGTGAAATTTTCATGGGTGGACAGTCGCAATGCCTGGGTCGCTGAATGATGAGCAGTAGATATCCAACACCCTTTTTCTGATCAGTCTTGAAGAGACCTAGACTGCATCCCTCATCGCTCTGACGCATGGACACGTGAGCTGTCGTTGAATGCTAAAGATTCAGATATGCAGAATCAAAGGTGGGTCCCGCGATGATGGAAAAGACTAATTAGATGTCAGATGATGCGGCTACATCCTGAGTTTGAAGACGAACCATGCGCGTCGACTGAGGATTTGTGCGTTGCTATTTGCACTGTGAACACATGTCAACTTGGCTATGAACAGTCTTGAGCTCGTTGGACGGGAACTTGGCTTGAACTGGGTTTTCGGCAGCCGCAGGTTCCTCATTCTTAAGGCAGCTTGGGCTGGTGTGGTGTTTGCATATGACATTTTCATGGGTGGACAGTCGCAATGCCTGGGTCGCTGAATGATGAGCAGTAGATATCCAACACCCTTTTTCTGATCAGTCTTGAAGAGACCTGGACTGCATCCCTCATCGCTCTGACGCATGGACACATGAGCTGTCGTCGGATGCTAAAGATTCAGATATGCAGAATCAAAGGTGGCTCCCGCGATGATGGAAAAGACTAATTAGATGTCAGAGGATGCGGCTACATCCTGAGTTTGAAGACGAACCATGCGCGTCGACTGAGGATTTGTGCGTTGCTATTTGCACTGTGAACACATGTCAACTTGGCTATGAACAGTCTTGAGCTCGTTGGACGGGAACCTTGCTTGAACTGGGTTTTCGGCAGCCGCAGGTTCCTCATTCTTAAGGCAGCTTGGGCCGGTGAGGTGTTTGCATGTGAAATGTTCATGGGTGGACAGTCGCAATGCCTGGGTCGCTGAATGATGAGCAGTAGATATCCAACACCCTTTTTCTGATCAGTCTTGAAGAGACCTAGACTGCATCCCTCATTGCTCTGACGGATGGACACGTGAGCTGTCGTTGAATGCTGAAGATTCAGATATGCAGTATCGAAGGTGGGTCCCGCGATGATGAAAAAGACTAATTAGATGTCGGAGGATGCGGCTACATCCTGAGTTTGAAGACCAACCATGCGCGTCGACTGAGGATTTATGCGTTGCTATTTGCACTGTGAACACATGTCAACTTGGCTATGAACAGTCTTGAGCTCGTTGGACGGGAACCTTGCTTGAACTGGGTTTTCGGCAGCCGCAGGTTCCTCATTCTTAAGGCAGCTTGGGCCGGTGTGGTGTTTGCATGTGACATTTTGATGGGTGGACAGTCGCAATGCCTGGGTCGCTAAATGATGAGCAGTAGATATCCAACACCCTTTTTCTGATCAGTCTTGAAGAGACCTGGACTGCATCCCTCATTGCTCTGACGGATGGACACGTGAGCTGTCGTTGAATGCTGAAGATTCAGATATGCAGTATCGAAGGTGGGTCCCGCGATGATGAAAAAGACTAATTAGATGTCGGAGGATGCGGCTACATCCTGAGTTTGAAGACGAACCATGCGCGTCGACTGAGGATTTGTGCGTTGCTATTTGCACTGTGAACACATGTCAACTTGGCTATGAACAGTCTTGAGCTCGTTGGACGGGAACTTGGCTTGAACTGGGTTTTCGGCAGCCGCAGGTTCCTCATTCTAAAGGCAGCTTGGGCTGGTGTGGTGTTTGCATGTGACATTTTCATGGGTTGACAGTCGCAATGCCTGGGTCGCTGAATGATGAGCAGTAGATATCCAACACCCTTTTTCTGATCAGTCTTGAAGAGACCTGGACTGCATCCCTCATTGCTCTGACGGATGGACACCTGAGCTGTCGTTGAATGCTAAAGATTCAGATATGCAGAATCAAAGGTGGGTCCCGCGATGATGGAAAAGACTAATTAGATGTCAGAGAGGATGCGGCTACATCCTGAGTTTGAAGACGAACCATGCGCGTCGACTGAGGATTTGTGCGTTGCTATTTGCACTGTGAACACATATCAACTTGGCTATGAACAGTCTTGAGCTCGTTGGACGGGAACTTGGCTTGAACTGGGTTTTCGGCAGCCGCAGGTTCCTCATTCTTAAGGCAGCTTGGGCTGGTGTGGTGTTTGTATGTGACATTTTCATGGGTGGACAGTCGCAATGCCTGGGTCGCTGAATGATGCGCAGTAGATATCCAACACCCTTTTTCTGATCAGTCTTGAAGAGACCTGGACTGCATCCCTCATTGCTCTGACGGATGGACACGTGAGCTGTCGTTGAATGCTAAAGATTCAGATATGCAGAATCAAAGGTGGGTCCCGCGATGATGGAAAAGACTAATTAGATGTCAGAGGATGCGGCTACATCCTAAGTTTGAAGACCAACCATGCGCGTCGACTGAGGATTTATGCGTTGCTATTTGCACTGTGGAGACGGGAACTTGGCTGAAACTTTGTTTTCGGCAGCCGCGGGTTTCTCATTCTCAAGGCAGCTTGGGCTGATTTTGATGGGTGGACAGTCGCAATGCCTGGGTCGCTGAACGATGAGCAGTGGATATCCAACACCCTTTTTCTGATCAGTCTTGAAGAGACCTGGACTGCATCCCTCATTGCTCTGACGCATGGACACGTGAGCTGTCGTTCAATGCTAATTAAAGACTCGGATATGCAGAAGGTTGGTCCTATGGTGATGGACATTGTCTAATTATGGGTGTGTGTGTTTTTCGCGGGTACCCCTTTTTTCGTTTTCAAGGGAAACCAACGGAAAACCTTCCAAATTGAGGGACCCATGTCAGAAGATGTGGCAAGCATGCGTCCATGGGACTTGATCGGTGCTATTTGGATTGTGTGTGTGGCCCGTATTCTTGGGAGTCGAAGAATATGGCTTTGCGCTTCTGCTGTGCTGACAGGAACATATTGACTTTTTTGGTGATGTGAGGTTCCTGCACCATGTCCTGTAGTATATCAGTATATGCTCATTTGGTTTAGTCATCCTTTGAGATTGCCCAAACAACAGAAATATGTTGGACAGTTTCTGGGGGTCAAAGTCAGAAAGGAGGTGTATCTGATGGTAGAGCAATGGGGCCGGTGCCCTCCCACCAATTGACATGGAACCT